AGGGATTGAGGTTGCTGTGAGCTCTGATGACTCCTCGGCACTCTACCCAGGGTAGAGTGAGACTGTCTCAATAAAAAATAAAATAAAATAAAAAATAAATCAACGATGAAAGATATTTCGGAATAGAGAGAATTAAACAGGCACTAAAGAATATTACAGAATTAACGTTAATCTTAGGTATGAATACTGTAACTGTATTTGGTTATACAGAACAAGGGCGTGTAAAAGGACAGATGGAAATATTTCTGGCATTGTGGACCACAGATACTCTGTCATAACTACTTAACTCTGCCACTGTAGTGCCAAAGCAGCCAAAGAAGAGCCTGTAAAATAACGTAAATGGTAAACACCTCACCCCAAATAAATCCATATCATACAAACACACCTTCCCCAGGCACTGAAGACCGCTCTGGAGAGGTAAAAAGAAAAAGCACACCACTGCCTCACACAAATACTCATACGACCACGGTGCTGATCCATCCTCCCAGCAAGGACTGACATCAATGCACTATCTATTCATCTCTTGCATATTACGTCCCAATCAACTCGTAGGTGGACTAGGAGGACTAGACAACTATAAATTCAAGGACATTCACAAGAAACAAACTTCCTCCCATTAACAACTTAGTCCTCTCTCTCCATTCACGGTGGTGGAGAAGAAGGCACCATTTTCAAATGATTACTTGTCCTCATCACTAATAACTACGTCTATCCAAGTGCACTTAGATGTTAACTTTAAAAGAAAGGAACATCAAAAAGTCCAAGTTTGTTCATCTAGCTCTTCAGAGACATCTAAATCTGTTAGAAAAATCAAATATAATTTTTAAAAGTTTGCTATACTGGCTAAGGCACCAGCCACATACGCTGGAGCTGGCGGATTTGAACCCAGCCCAGGCCTGCCAAAGAACAATGACAACTACAACAAAAATAGCCAGGCATTGTGGCGGGCACCTATAGTCCCAGCTACTTGGGAGGCTAAGGCCAGAGAATTGCTTAAAAGCACAAGAGTCTGAGGTTGCTGTGAGCTATGATGCTATAGCACTCTACCTAGGGTGACATAGTGAGACTCTGTTACAAAAAAAAAAAAAAAAAATTGCCATAGAAATGATAAATGTGCTCAGAGCCTGTGGCTCAAGTGGCTAAGGCGCCAGCCACATACACCTGAGCTGGCAGGTTCGAATCCAGCCCGGGCCCACTAAACAACAATGACGGCTACAACCAAAAAACAGCCGGGCATTGTGGCGGGTGCCTGTAGTCCCAGGTATTTGAGAGGTAGAGGCAAGAGAATCACTTGAACCCAGGAGTTGGAGGTTGCTGTGAGCTGTGATGCCACAGCACTCTACCCAGGGTGACAGCTTGAGGCTCTGTCTCAATAACAAAAAAAGAAATGATAAATGCCTGAGGTGATGTAATACCCCAATTACCCTGATTTGATTAATACACTGTATGCTTCTATCAAAACATCACACGCACCCTGTAAATAATATATACAACTATAATGTACCCATAACTTTAAAAGTAAATAAAAAATAAAAAGAAAAGTTTACTGTAATTTCTTTATAAGAAACCTAATGGAAAGATGGAATTCAATACACAGAAACATCCTCAACAATTAAACATTTCTAGACTGTATCTATTCCATTTCGCAGTTTAGTATTCTTTTTTTCTTTTGAGACAGAGTCTCACTATGTCACTCTCAGAAGAGTGCCATGCCATCACAGCTCACAGCAACCTAAAACTCGTGGTCTTAAGCGATTCTCTTGCCTCAGCCTCCCAAATAGCTGGACTACAGGCACCCATCACAATGCCCAGCTGTTTTGTTTTCTTTCTGTAGTTGTCTGTTTCTGTTGTTGTTTAGCAGGCCCAGGCCGGGTTTGAATCCACCAGCCCCAGTGCATGTGGCTGGCACCCTAGCCGCTCAGCTATAGGAGCCCAGCCTGGTACTGTACGTATTCTAAACTGAGATGGTACACTGATTTATATCACTGCTTCCTTCCGTAAATGGTGGCATCTACAAAGAGGGACTGGAAAGGGAAGTGAGTGATTTGCTCAAATCTCAATATTACACTTACCCGGTGTTAACAGCCAGTCCAGTTCTATTGTAAGTGTGAGAAAAACAGTCATAATCCATACTTGTTATTTTTCAAGACAAAGGTAAACTAAGGGAAAAAGTTGGAACTAACTCCAATATCCTATTCAAAGTACTGAAAACACCCCACCTTCCACTGTTTCCTACACACTACAATCACAGAGCTGTTCCCTAGCAAGCCCCTCTGCAAGAAGATATAATCGCATTGTTTCTATTATCCTTCACTTCTTCTGGCACCTTTAAAAAATGCATTTGGATAAGACAAGGGTCAGGACCCCTACTTGATGAAAAAAATAACTAAACCACTATACTCAATGAAGCATTAGACTTCGGGGAACACTTTCTTTTAAGCCATGTACAAAAGTACTAAAATTGTCATTACATCTACCAGGAAACAGCCACCTACATAACGTTAGGTGGTGTAGAAAGCACCCCCCCTAGTTTCATTTATTCCTAAGAACACTGCAAAGTATATTACTAACCCTCATAGAGTAGTAAACTGAAGCTAAGAGGCTAAGGCTCAGACACAACTAATGAATGAAAATGTGGAGATTTGAACTCAAATTTACCTAGCTCCAAAAGAGTATACTTTCTTCTCAACTGTGCTACCTCCCAATTTCACAATTTTGGAATGGGCAGAGTTGTGAATGGATTTGTCCAGCAATCTTCATGACTTCACTAAAAAGAGGGAGATTGGACTTCTCAATTAGAATCTCATTTTGAAACCCATGGAGCACTATTTAAACCCCATTTCTTTTCAAGAAGTAATCAACAAATAAAAAGAAGGGTTAGACATCCTTTTAAAGAAAATATCATCACAGATCTGCAGGTGAATTGTCACTTTGGGCAAGTCCCAGAGTTAGCAACTCCCTCCTATGTGCACTACCACTAACTAGTAGAAAGCATTCCACCCAATTCAAACTGGATGCCCGCACCAAAGCTAAGTCAAATAAGGCTCATCACACCTCTCAAGGAATTAAAAGACTAGAGGAGTCCAATCATACATATGTACAAATGTACCAAATTATCATTACATCTACCAGGCAATGTGTACAGTTACCACTTAATCAGAGAAATAAGAAGTGAAAAAAATCCTAAAACAAAAGTTATGTGCAGGATAACATGCTATCACAGCCCAGAGAAGGAAAACAACTTGTGTACTTGTCTCCTTATGTACTAAGTAGCATTTGTTTACATTATGTTCCTCCCTGACAACCCTTTCCAATCTCTGTCAACCTCCCTCCCCACAATCCCACATACAACCAGAAAAGGAAGCTATAGAACAAGTATTGTCAGTCCCAAAAGCGACTTTGTAGTTTAAAAGCACAATGCTTATGCCTTAAGAAAATTTGTCTTTGGCTTCCTCAGGCAACAAAAGTTGGTTTTAGAGCAAAGTGACCCCAACCAAACCAGAAAACCCCAGGAACACTTCTCTATATTACTCTCTTAGCATGAAAAACTGATCTCGTGATATACAGTTATTTCCCAAATTTTTCTTTTTAATATGACAAAGGGATACAATAACTGAAATTAAATGACACGCTGATAACTTTGTTCCACTACAAAAGACAATTAAACTAATTCTACCTGAGGAATTTAAATAGAATTATTCTTATATTATAAGCCAAACTAACCAAATTCTGTGGAGTCAGTGAACCCAAAACCTAACAAGGCTTGCACCTGACACAGTGCTCCAATCTCCACCGTCCAAGAAGGAATAGGAGATCAGTAACACTGATTTATCTCAATTGATCATAACTTCTTTACAAACTTGCAAACAATGACCTTTCAAGAACTGCAGCATTTGTCTTGATGTGGGCAATCCAATGGTTTAGAAAGCCTGAATAAGCTGCTGCTTCTAAAAATAAAACGGTGTGGAGGGGGGGAAACCTGGGGGGTCGCACTCTGCGTTTTGCTTTATACTTGCCTGGAGCAATAAACTCTCAAAATAACTTCAGTAGGGAGTGTAATAGCAAAGAATGAACACCAAAATATTGCTCAATCCAACTTTCATTGTGAATTCCTGAGTTCACAGTAGGATCTAGAAACTTAAACGTGACTGAATCATTTTGCTGTCAGAACTAGTATTTCCAAAACAAAACAAACTTGTCTACTCCCTTTCTTGATTAAAAAATCAAGGAGGTCCCCATTTTTTATAATTTACATACTGGTTGGCTTTGCAAAGGAGGAGCAGGGAGTCATATTTACAAAAATAAAAGATAAAAATGTTTTGTGTGGTCTCAAAGTGTAGCTCCAAGTTGAGCCTGCTCGCTGCCAGTCTCCCAGAGCGCGTGCAGACCGCACGGGTCCCGCCGGCAGCCGGCCTCCGACCCGCGGGGGTCAGGCGAGCCGCGCCCGGGAGCAGGCGAGGAGAGGGCCCCGCAGGCGGGCGCGGCCCGACGTGTTTACCGCCGGCGTCGGCCCGGGGGAACCGCTCCCTCGCGCCCGCAGCACTTGTTCCAGGCGGCTGACTCCGGCCCCCCAGCGCGACCCGCAGAGCTGCCCGGCGCTCGCGGGGGCTACTGCGGCTGCCGCCCCCAGAAGAAGACTAAGCCAGCCTCGGCGGCGCCGACCGCGGGAGCCCGGAGCGGGGGTCCAAGGACCGAGGGGGCGGGGGCGGCCCCCAAGACGGGCTGCGGGGAGTGAGAGGCGCGCCGCGGCCGGGGACAGACAATGCGGGACCGGGGGGATGCGGAGGAGGGGTGGCCAGAGCCGGCCGCCCGGCCGCCCCGCCACCCGAGCACCGTCGTCCGCCCCTCTCCGCCCCCCTCCACCCCCAGCAGCCCCGCTCCTCCCTTTGTGCCTCGCCACCGAGCAGCGGCAGCAGGGGGAGGGGCCCGCGCCCCTCTCCGCTACCCTTTCTCAAACCACAAAACTTCCCTCAACTCCGCCAACTGAGTTGCGCTCTTACCTAGCGGCTCCCGGGGCTCCCCCGCGGGCCGAGCCGGAACAGCTCCACACCTTCGCCGCGGAGAAAGACAATAGGCGGCCGTTCCCCCGGCGGCGGCGGCTAAAGCGGCTGCGGCCCAGGATAGGAGCGGGCACCACGGTCTCGGTGGAGCCCAGGAGCTTCCCGGCGGCTGCTCGGCCCCGCGCTAGCCCTGCACACAGCCCTAGCGCACCCGCGCATGCGCCACACACCGCGCGAGGAGGGGCGGAGTGCCCAGAGAAGGCGGTAACGCCTACGAGTCCTCCCGTGAGTAACCAGGAGCCAAAGACCACGAGCTGGGATTGCATGTCAGAGCTGCCCGTCATGCTCCGTGCGACCAATAGAAAGGTTCTTGGGCGGTGCGCGTAAGTTGCTAAGGGAGGCTGAGGTTGACCGCCACTGCTGCGCCGCGGCAAAGTGATCAAAGTGGGGTGGCTGGTGGTAGAGGCTTTAGGGAATGCCCACCAGTTGTCTTCACTCTGCCGAATCTCAAGAAACCGCCCTTCCTCTGTGTGCCCTGTGCTTACCTGAGCTGTAGCACTTAACCACACACACTGAAATGGCTTATTTCTCCCAGTTCAAATCAGGAAGTGCAGTTTAGCAGTGTCCAAAGCTTTGGAAAGTCATTGCTGTGTGTTCAGCAAGTGTTGACGGATGAATGCATGATGGCGCTATGGCAATGTCAGAATTTTGACAGTGCCTGCCGAGAACTTTCGGTTCACTTTCCTCACAAAATCTTTCAGTGTTTGTGTTGCAAAGGACCTCAGAAATCATCTGGTGGCTTTGAGAAACAAATGTGGTCCGTATACCTGTGGCGGCCTGGGAGATCATATTAGTTGGTATATAAACGTCTTTACTTTGATAGTTACGTGTTTACGTTAACGTGTATTAGGGGTGGAAACGCCTGTCAAACCATTGCTTCACTGATGTTATTTCTCAGGTCAAGAAGAAAGTTGTAAGAAAAAAAAAGTACTAGAAAAATATTAATAATAGAAACACTTTATAGACAGTTCAAGAACATGCAAAACTGATGATTGAAGTAAAAACAGTGGTACCGGCTCCACGCCTGTAGGTAAGTGGTTAGGGCACCGGCACATATACTAAAGCTGGCAGGTTTGAACCCGGCCCGGGCCTGCTAAACAACAATGACAACTGCAGCCAAAAAATAGCCGGGCATTGTAGCGGGCGCCAGGGTGACAAAGTGAGACTGTCTCAAAAAACAAACAGAAAACAAAGCAGTGCTTACGGCGCCAGCCGCACACACCAAGGGTGGTGGGTTCGAACCCGGCCTGGGCCAGCTAAAACAACGATAACAACTGCAACAAAAAAAAATAGCCTGGCATTGTGGCCGGATGCCTGTAGCCCTGGCTACTTGGGATGCTGAGGCAAGAGAATCGCTTGAGCCCAAGAGTTTGAGGTTGCTGTAAGCTGTGACGCCATGGCACTCTACCAAGGGTGACATAGTGAGACTCTGTCTCAAAAAAACGAAGAAAAAACAAAACAAAACAGTGGTACCTAGAAGGAGGAGGTTATTTTCTGGAATGAGCAGGAGGGAAGCCTCTGTGGTGCCCGTTCTATACTTTGCTCTGAGCAGTGGATGACAAAGGTATTCTTGTATACATCTGATAAAACTAGCTGTATACTTAAATTACTTCACCTTACACATTTTAAACACATTAATGTCAGTTGTTTAAATCCAGGTACAGGATACGGCCAAAAACAATGCAAAGATACAAATGACTGACATTTTGGAAACCCTGATCCAGGCAAGCTCTTTCCCAGCTAAAGAATATCTGAGAGAGGGTATCGTGAGTATCTGGTGTGTGTTCCAGGTACTTCCATTGTTGAATAGCTCTAAATCTTTGAAATGCTCCTAGCTGGGTGCAGTGGCTCACACCTGTAACCTTAGCACTCTGAGAGGCCGAAGTGGGTGGATTGCTTGAGTTCACGAGTTCAAGACCAGCCTGAGCAAAAGTGAGACCCCCTATCTCTACTAAAAATAGAAAAACTGAGGCAAGAGGATCCTTTGAACCCAAGAGTTGGACGTTGCTGTGAGCTATGACGCCACCACACTCTATCCAGGTTGACAGCTTGAAACTGTCTCAAAAAAAAAAGAAAAATAAATGCTCTTTGTATAGAGCTGAAATTTGCTTTTCTGTCAGTCAACCTGGTGCTCACATACATTTTCTTAGTTCCCCCTTACAGAATGATTTTTTTAAAAGGCTAAACATGCCCAGTTCTCCATGTGAAATTATTTCCATATCACCTTATCCTCATGCTCACCCTCTTCCACACTCAACTCTAATCTATCCTTGTCAATATTTAAAAGCTGGCATGGAGACAAGAGATGCCTGCCTGGGTCCTAAACCTGACTCTGCCACAAAGGAGCCCACCATGACCAGGTTACTCCTCGAAGAACCTCACTCTCTAACACAAGAGCACTAACCCAAAAAATTATATGGACCCCAAACGTTTGGTAATCCCATAGTTTTCTCTTAAAACTTGGCCAGTCTGTTTCAGAGGTAGCAGTAAATGTTACCCTGTCATCTTCCAGTGACTTCCAGTGACTTCTGACAACACTGTTCCCACCTAGGCAGCATTTACACTTTGCCAGTGGGGCTGCTGGAAGTGTCAAGAGTTCAGCACTTTTCAAATTTATTATGCACACCTGGGAAATGTTTTATTTGCGACAAGATCTTTCTTTGTTGCCCAGGCTAGAATGCAGTTGTATCATCTCAGCTCCCTGTAACCTCAAGCTCCTGGACTCAATCAATCCTCCCACCTCGGCCACCCAAAGAGCGAGGACTACTGCTCTGTGCTACCATACTCTGCTACCTTTTCTATTTTTAGTAGAGATGGGGTCTTGCTCTTATTCAGACTGGTCTCAAACTCCTGGTCTCAAGCAGTCCTCCTGCCTCAGCCTCCCGAAGTGCTAGGATTACAAGCATGAGCCACTGTGCATAGGCCCGTCTGGAAAAAAAAATTTTTTTTGAGACAGAGTCTCACTTTGTCACCCTCAGTAGAGTACTGTGCTGTCACAGCTCACAGCAACCTCAGACTTTTGGGATCAAGTGGTATCTCGCCTTAGCCTCCTAAGTAGCTGGGACTCCAAGCACCCACCACAATGCCCAGCTATTTTTAGAGACAAGGTCTCCCTCTGGCTCTGGCTGGTCTCCAGCCTGTGAGTTCAGGCAATCCACCCTCCTCGCCTCCCAAGTGCTAGTATCACAGGTGTGAGCCACTGCCCAACCTTCAGTAATACATTTTTATATTACATGTTGAAATTAAAATATTCGGCTAGGGGCAGTGCCTGTGGCTCAAAGGAGTAAGGTCCATATGCTGGAGGTGGCGGGTTCAAACCCAGCCCTGGCCAAAACTGCAAAAAACAATAATAATAATATTTGGCTAAACAAAATATTATTAAAATTAATTTCACCTGGCATCACCCATAGCTCAGTGAGTAGGGCACCGACCACATACACCAAGGTTGTTGGGATGGAGCCTGGCTAAGGCCTGCTAAACAACAATGACAACTGCAACCAAAAAATAGCTGGACATTATGGCAGGTGCCTGTAGTCCCAGCTACTTGGGAGGCTGAGGCAAGAGAATCACTTGAGCCCAAGAGTTTGAGGTTGCTGTGAGCTAGAGCAAGACCCATCTCTAAAAATAGCTGGACATTGTGACAGGTGCCTGTAGTCCCAGCTACTTGGGAGGCTGAGGCAAGAGAATCACGTGAGTCCAAGAGTTTGAGGTTGCTGTGAGCTGTGACAGCACAGTACTCAACCAAGGGCAACATAGTGAGACTCTGTCTCCAAAAAAGAAGAAGAAGAAGAAGAAGAAGAAGAAGAAATGAAAATTCAGCTCCAGACTAAAACTTTACCTGGAGCCAGATTTCGAGCCAGAATCCTCTGTCCTCCCTCATCCTCATCCCCCACTTCAGTTCAGGCTAAACATATGGTAGCGAGGTGAGCTTTCTAAAATGAAAATCTGCTCTCGCTGTTCCCTTACTTTAACATTTTTTGAGATTTCCTTTTTGCCTTACAGAATGAAGGCCATATTTCTTTGCATGGCAGTACCAGTCCTGACCTCCACTGACCTCCCTCAGCTTCATCTCCTCCCCAGTTTCTTACGAGTGCTGATACCCCACATCTTTGAATTTGCTTATCCCTGTTCTGCAAAGGTCCTCTGCTAACTGCCTGTGCACACCCCCTTGTCTCTTGTACCATCCCACTCTTTTTTTTTTTTGAGACAGAACCTCAAGCTATCCCCCTGGGTAGAGTGCCGTGGCATCACAGCTCATAGCAACCTCCAACTCCTGGGCTCAAGCAAGTCTCCTGCCTCAGCCTCCCAAGTAGCTGGGACCACAGGCGCCCGCTGCAAC